AGAAGAAGATAGAAGCGCACAGTATATTCAAATATTGTAGATATATGTCAATTGAGTTTTATCATACAAAACAAGCTGAAGTACTATCAAAAACTCTTAACAAATTGATAAGGTAATAAAACACTCATTTCTAAAACTACACTTAAAAATCGTCAATTAAGTTCAAAATTTCTCAAAGCTGTTCTAAAACAACCAAGTCTCTAATAATTGGGACCAAAAACAACAGTAACGGAAGCAAAATAGTATCCTTTTGTTTTCAGGGAACCTGGCATGGCCTGTTGATTAGGACGCTCGAATTGCAATCTGCGGGTCGTGGGATCAAAACCTGTTACTAATCGTGCTCGCCATTTTTAATCGCAGAGATGTTATTGTGTGGCCTTGAATTCCAATATTGGTTGGTGAAGAGTAGCCCAAGAGGTGATGGTGGGTGGGATCCACTAGTTGCCTTCTCTTGAACCAATCGATTCAACATTAGTAGTGGCTAGCACAGATAGCCCTTGATTAGCTTTTTGCAAAATTCAACAAACCAACAACCAACATCTAGTTTCTTGGAATCATCCGTCTTGCTGTATGTATTGAGATAAAAACATCAAATAGTTTCTAACTACCATCTGTTAGGATTTTCACTTTTTAGAGTTTACATCATTGTAATGCAATAAATATTTTCAAACGCTTTATTTACATTGGTGAATATTTTTTAAAAATATGGTTATAAAAATTCAGCAACTACAGGCTGATCAACTAACATTTTATTATATATTAAAGTTATTGTTCAGAAATTCGGACCTAGCCGCTTACTTCTAATTCTGAAAAAAATGACGTCATTTGAGACTTTGGTAGGGGTTAGGCCTAGCGTGAATGTAAAGAAAACAAGTGCGTTGTTTATATCATGTCTGAAAATATAGCAGAGTTATTGTGCAGTGGAACTAAACTTAATCGTGATAAAGGTTATGCAAATTTAATGACGTTTTTGGAGAAGTCTCAGAACAGTAATTGTTCTATTAAAGATATTGAAGATTTACAAAGTATTTTTGTCAAACTTTTAGACAATGATACTTCAAGTTCTTGGGAGAAAAAACTAGGGGCACTGTTGGGTGTAAAAGGTTTACTTTCATTTGTTATTGCTTCCATAAAATGTCATTCCGAAACATCTTCCTCCAATGACAGTACCAGTGATGTTATTGAACTGTTAAAGTCAGAGAACTTTTTTTTAGAACTTTTTTCTTTATGTGAAAAACTTCTGACACATGAAGAAGTAAGAATTCGTTTGACATCAGGTGAGAAGCATGAATTCTTTTTTTTTTTATCAATGATTAGTTTACTTAACTATATTATGTTAGCCCTTATGTTAATTTTGCTTGTTAAGATAAATTTTCATGGTGTTTAAAGCATTTTAGCTATGGTACTTAAAGTTTAAACTAAAGGTTTTTGTCTATAGCACAGAATTAAAATGTTCAAAACTGTGAAGTTGAACAGTCTTTATAGGTGTCTCTTAATGGTGGAATGAAAACATAACGTAAACTTTAATATTAGGTAATGGGGTTTAGCTTTTGATGTATATATGTAGGTAGAGCCTTGTTATAGGGTTTTTTTCTTATTTTTTTTATAAACCTTGACTGGTATTCAGTTATCTGTAGATGTGTAGTATGAGCAAGAAGTTTGAATTAGTTTAGAATTCTATTTGATAGGTCTATGGAGGATATGTTGGATTTAAAAATTAAAGAAAGAGAAAGAAAAAATTGGAATAAAGATTTGGTGGTTCAATTACAATCTATCAGTTGCTGTTGTAAGTTACATTTGATCTTCAACTAATTCATACAATTAGTGGTGCATATATGTTTATAGGTAACTTCTCAAACACAGTGGAATGAAAATTAATTTTTTTAATTCATCAAAATTGGGACTTAATTGTTGTAAATTCAAAGATGATTTAATATATTGAAATTCACTCAATGATAACATCAGTGGTGGGGAATTTTTTTGAAAGTCTGATAAAAATGCTATGTGTAGTCATTTAACAAAATTTAAAATTTTGTTGGATAATCAACATGGTTTGAATAGGGGAAAATCTTGCTTTACTAAAATTTTGACATTCTTTGAAGAGATTACTGCTTATGTAGGTGAGGGTACAGGTCTGTGTGGATTTGATGTATCTGAATTTTTAGAAAACATTTGACAAGGTGCCAAATAAAAGGCTTGCTAAAAAACAATTTGTAAGTTTCAGGGATAGATTGACTTACTGGCTAGAGGTAAGAAAGCAGAGGGTTGTTATAAATGGAATTCATTCAAACCAGATAAATGTCACAAGTGAGGTACCTCAGGGCTCAGTGTTAGGACCTTTGCTCTTTTTGGTTTACATAAATAACACAAATGAAGGAATGGTCAATAAATTATTCAAATATGCTGATGCTATTAAGGTTTTGGGTGTTGCTGACGAGGAGGAGGATGTTGCTGTTTTTTGGCAGATTGCTTTTAATTTAATAAATGCATGGTAATATATAAGGTCTATCAAAATTTGAATTATTAGAATAACCTTAACAGTGTCATGGAAAAATAGATATTGGTGTTCTGATTTATCATTGTAAGCAATGTGCTGTTGCTAGTGGCAAATAAATAGGATTTTAGGTTGTGTCTACAGATATACTGAATACAAGTCTTAAGAGGTTATAATGTCGTAATGTGATATTGATTTTTCAGGAGAAGTGATAGGACTCTTATGTCAAATCCATGGTACCAAAGTTTATAATCAGTGCCAAGAGAGACTACTGACATTGATCAAAGACAACTTGGAAAGAGAGATTTCAGATGTAAGCACAGGAGTTTCACAAGAATGTAATGATGATGAAAAATCTCCTAAGAAGACTTTAGAAAGGGTGAGATAAATATGTATACATGCTTAATCAAAGTTTATAGAATATTATTATTTTACAGTTTTATTAATGCTTGGTGTAATTCCTAAACCTCAAATAACTGATTCCATATTTAAAAACTGGAGTTTTAATTATGTTAATGGTCACTTTAATTTGTTATTTCAGCCTACCCACTGTAGTTAATCACAACTTATAGTTTTAATACAAGAAGGGGTAAGAAATCAGAGGCATTTATTCTATCAAACTCATGGATGATCTTGTAAACAAGATTACCTCTTACCCTTTTTGTATCAAGAGAAAATAAGTTGTGAGATATTAATCTATCTGTCAAAGATAATCATTCCATCCATGGATTCATCCTACAGTTGTAATTCTCCTCTGAATCCTTTCCAGTAAATCATTATCCATTTTTACATAAGGAGACCATTCCTGCCCACAGTATTCCATATGAGGCCTAACAAGTGTTTTTATACAGATAATTATCTCATTTTGACATGTAATCAGTATGTCTAAAATATATCCTAAAAAAACAAGCTTTACAACTAGCAAAAGAGCAACATCTTGATGGCTAGAGTGACTTATCTACCACCATTTGAAAGAAATTTTTTCAGTCATGCTATTGAGTGGGTTCTTATATATAATAAAAATGGTATCAAGATTTACTCTAATTAACCATCATATACAAACTATTTGTCCAATTTACCAATTTATCCAAGTCCTTCCCTGATATTTCACCATCCTCAATACAATTATAAAACCCAAGAGTTTAATGTGATCTACAATAACTTATGAAATGTGCCTCTATAAATGTCATGAATGTAAATAAAAAAAAGCATTGTCCAAAGCACTTACCTGTGAAGCACACCACTGGAAACAAAGGTTTTATTTGGTTTGTGTGTGTTTGTAGTTGCATTTTGTTTAAATTTGAATCAAACCAATTTTTTCATTCATTAGTCATTTCATTTATTTATTTTCAGAAAAAGCAAGCTGGAAATTAATACTTCTGTTAAAAAAAGTAAATACTTATTACTAATTACAAGTATGACCAGCATTACGAAATAGTGTTAAGATCATTGGGTATTTAATGACTTGTATTTATTGAGGTCTGTTTTCATTATGCTCAGTCAGAATAAAGCATTGTCTCTTTTATTTATTTATTTTAGCGAGGAAGTGCTAATGCTGCTCAGATATTTCATGACACCGCTGGATGGAAGTGCTTGGAAACCAGCATGAAGTAAGGTTGAAGAATTAGTTTTTAATCATTGTTTGGCTAATATATTTTTTTTTATGATTCAACACAGTATAATGATAAATCTTGTTAGGTACCCATATTTTTAATTTGATCTTAACTACAAACTTCAACCTCTATCATTTGTGACATTTTATTGTCCAGTCAACTAATTTTAAAACCTTACTACTAAAAGTGATGCTTTATCTGCTGTAAATTAACATTAGCGAGTATCATCCTGTCATTCAAAGTGACTTAATGGAAGGGTTATAACTTTAATCATCTTTTTAATGGGAAAATAATATTTGGTTTATTTTCTAGCTATCCTTGGAAGGTTAACCCTATCGCCACGGGTAACCTTTACTGTGCATAACACAAGGTTTTTGTGTCTTACATTCAAAATTTTATTAAACTACTTTTTGTTTATGTTATACCAATTAGTATAGCATAAAATCTTAGCTAATAACCCATATCTTAATAGCATGTGAGTTTTAAGTTCTTAATTCTATAAGGCAATATTTAAAAAAATTCTGAATTTCACCTCATGTGACCCACATGACACATTTTCTCAAGGTATGTTCTTTATTTTATCTATCACCCTTCCAAAAAGTACGAAATTGAACATAAGTTACTCACTATAAGATTGTCATTGCTCAAACAAACCATAATTTTTATAGCCTTCAATTTTTTTTTGGTTACAGTGCTATCAAATAGAAAATCAGACTCCTCGCCACACCCACCTGTTACATCCGTTCTTTCAGGATTTGTTAACAGTTCTCTCTTACGTTTAATTATATATTACCTATAACCAATAGAAATGAAGATTTTCATCTATCATATGACATATAACATTGTGTTCTGAACAGATAAGCATCAATTTCACTTACAATACATGGTTACTTCCTGTGGGGAAGTTAACAACTATCTTGGATGAACTTGTAATGGCTCTTTTCGCATAGATAGAAAGCCAGAAAAATTTTGAGAGTTAGAGGAAATTGTCTACTTTTTTGCATATTATTAGTCTATATTCTTTGATGTATTATGTAATTAAATAAAAATTATTTTGTGCATTGCTACCATTAGTATAAAAAAGTAGGGTTAAGTGTCATTGACAATTAACAGTAGGAAAAAAAAGAAGATTGTGTAAGTACTTTATTTCTTGTTTTTCATGTTTATTATTTATTTATTACTATATAAGTAACTAAAATGTAAAAATAGGGATCTCTTTAGGTTAGTTAAGGTTAGATTAGGTAAAATAAACAATTTTGGAGTAGCTCGTGGGTAATGTAATTCGATAGCATAATATGAGCTGCATGTTCCCCAAGTGATTTACAACTTATAATGATGCGAATAGTTAGACACGGTTAAAAGTACAATCAAAAGAGCAATATAACAATAAAATTTAATTATAAATAGATGTATACTGTTACAAGTTTAAAGCTACTTAGGATAAACAAATGTAGTTTCATGTTACATTTGAATTCATTTTAGAAAGAAAACAGGATAATTCAGATTTTCTTCTTCTTTTTTTTTTTTGGGTGGTTTCGAGGTCAGTCAAATTGACCAACCTTGTATAGAGTTAGGGTAGAGAAAATTTCAGATAAAATATAAACTTTTACTGAAAACAAACTTGAAATATATTTAGGAGGTTTTAGAGATTACACAAATGAAATTTTTGAGATGAAGAAAAGTATTTTTAATCTTAACATGAAAATCAAGTTGCACACAGGCTACTTAAAACAAGTACTCGATATATTCAAGGACAAATCTATTTTTAGTTTATTAAAAATACTTCACTAAAAATTTTATTTTTTGTATATGAAAGACTTATAATGTTTACTGAAAGACTGCCAAATTTCGTGAAGATATACATACTATATTAAAAGTTAGTTGTATCAAATCTATAAGGACTTTGAATGAGACAAAGATGTCACATGTTTGGTCAAATTGACCAAGCCTGTGTTGAGAGAGTTAAATAAATTCTTGGATAAATTCTTGAAATAGTAATATTCCCTAGACTGTATGATAAGATACTCTTTTTACCTTCAAAGTTATGTCAATCTTACTTAAGTATGCAATAAATTTCCTTATAAAATATATGAAATCTGGGTCCTGTTAAGACTTACATAAGTGTGTAGAGTTATTGTGGAGCAATTCCTGGGAGAGTCCCTCAATCTCCTTTCGTTACCAGTTAGAGAATATTTGTAGTGAAAACAGTTATTACGTTTTGGGGTCATACATAACAGTTATACAGAAGTATACTTATAGTTGTCTTTCATGTAGATTTACTGTTGTAAAGGTAATCAAGGCCCATCCAAATTTTGTAAAGGAAAGAAATGCTGCAGGTGAAAACCTTTTAGATTTTACATGCTCAGGGTTGCAGTTTAGTGCATTTCTGATAGGGATTTAATAAAAATTTAACAGCTTTTACATCCATTGATTTTTGGATTTTTCCATGTGTTTAACAAGCGAAGTAACAAAATCTAGAATTTTGTGTGTGTAGACCTTTATTTCAATTGCATGTCATTTTATACTTCTGTTCTGGTTCAAAAAAGATTAAGTGCATCATTAAAATGGAAATTTTGAATGTTGATATGCCTGTAGCTTATTCTAATTAACTGTATAATAGGTAAATTATTCTGATGATTCAAGTCCTTATTCATTGAATATTATTTTCAAGTTTACTATATTGAAACAATGCACATAAATAAATTAGCTTATAAATGATTGAAAAGAAACTACATTTGTTACATATAAATTATCTCAACCACATCAAAATATTGTTGCCTAGCCTGACTAAGGTAATGGTGAGACCATTTAGAAAGGTCAAGTACAGCACCACCAATAAATCATTATCAGTTTTACCATGTTTTACAACTTATAACTGAAAGCAGTGATTGTAAGTATTTGCAAAAATTGAGTACCAAAAGAAATATGTTAATAGATATACAGATTCATATTTATGTTATTTACCAATTGTACTATATTTGTAGTAGCAATAAATATGTACATTTAATTCCTGAAAAAAATCAGTGCAGTTTTGACTGACTGGATGTATAAAAATTGAACTTTTTTTTTGAAATTTTACAAACTAAAAAATGATAGAAATACTGAATTCAATTGTAAGAAGTTTTTAGTGTCAAAACTAGATGCTATTAGTGATTTCATACAAAGTTTCAGGAAGTATGGTTAAATATTGCCACTATGAGATAAAGAAAAAATTAGGGCATATCAATGACACCTCTCCAATCTGGACAGGGTTAAAGTTCTTTTTTTCGAAACTATCATTTGCAATCATTTCAAAAATGAAGTTTGTTCTCAGTTTGCTTTGTGCTCATTCAAAAGACAGGTGGATGGGTTGCTGTCTAAAAGTCTGCACCAAGAGGCATTTTCAACCATCGAGGATATAATCACTCCCATCTTCCCTCACCATGCACAAAATAGTCACTGAATCCAGCCCTGATCTCTCCAAATAGTCATCAACCCTTTTCTTGAACTCTTGTGAGTTTGCAACTTTATCGCTTTAGATGACAACTTGTTCCACAGACTTACCACACCTTACTGGGGAAATAAAATTGCCTCCGCTAGATATGTGTCTCGTCTTTTAATCTTAAATCTATGACCTCTTGTCTTTGTACCCTCAAAATTCAATGTGAAAAAAAATCTCATACATCAATTTTACCAGTTCTCTTAATAATTTTGAATATTTCAAGATAGAGTGCAAGATATCTCAGCCTATCCTTATATGACCGTTCATCCTATTAGCCCTCCTCAGAACCTATCCAACAACTTAATGTCCTTCCTAAGCTAACAAGACAAAACTACAAATAGTACTCAAATTGAGGCTTAACTAGTAAGTTATACATTAAAATCATGACCTCTTAAGACATGTAGTTAATGTTCTGATATATATATATATACATATATATATACATACACAACACAAAATTCTCTTTGCTTTATTACTTGTGATAGTATACTGTCTTGAAGGCTTAAGAATCATATCAATGAATATACTAAGGTCCCTTTCTTCATTCACTTAAAGAGGATTCCCATCCCTATTATATGTGTAATTTATATTATGAATAATTCACTTGCTTAACCTTCACTGATCATAATTAAATGTCGTTAGCCTCGTGTTTGTCCATCTAACCAACTGATATAAATATCTTTTTAAATCTTAGCATAATCATCATTATAAACAGCCAGCACAAGTTTTTTTTTTGTCATCAGCAAATTTAACCACTTTCTGGAGTGTGCTCCTATGAATGTTATCAATGTGAATGACTAATAGCAATGGTTCCAGGACAGATCTTTAAACATTAATCCAGTTAGACTGAAATCCATTAATAACAACTTTTTGTTTCCCCCAGCTAGCCATCCTTTATAACCAACTTATACTCTAACTGATTTAATGTTTTTAATCAGTGTCTTATGTAGCATCTTATCAAAACCTTTCTGAAAATAGAAGTAAACTGTATTCACTCTTTTACCATCATCAGATAAAAATAACATTCTCCGAAAAAATTTATTACATGCATAAAGCAGGATATTTCCTCTCTAAAACCTGTATGCTTTCTGACAAAATTTTGAAATTCATCAAATGAACTTCCAAAGAACTTTTCATCAAATTCTTTAAACTTTCCTCACCATCTAAACAAGACTGATTGGCCAAAGTACAATTGACAGTGTTTATTTCTTCTTTAACCCTCATCAGCATACATGGACCCCAACAAATTTCTTTTATTTGTATATCTTTTTATGTAATTATTACAAATTAATATAAATTCCTGTATTTGTCAAGCAGAAACCCTGGATCAATATGACACTATTGTTTTTGAAACAGGCAGGTGGAGTTTGTAGCTATAATCTAATATTTATCTGAGGTCCATGCATATCATGTACTATCATTGACCATCACTATATGTGCAGTTTGCCCTATAATATATAAAACAAATTTCTAAACACTTATTTCACTATATAGGCTATTATAGAGGATAGTTAATCAGAGTAGTACTGTATCATCTCATCTCTTTGCATACAACATCATTGTGGTAAGCATGTATACACATCCCATTCCTCAGAAAGTGTTCTCTGGGATGACTGTTTATAGAAACCGTGTTTGATAATTGTTGTAAATATCCTGCTTATTGGATTTTCAGTCCATAGCCTACTATGAGGGTTAAAAATTGAATTAATATTAGCCACCTACTCTCCAATAGTTTGGTACCTACTCACTGTCCAATGACTTACCACAAATGAAAGTCATTTAAAAAAAAGTCTTCAGTATTTTCACAAGGCAAGAGTCTCCAAAGACTTATAAAGTTAGCTAGCATATCTTCCAGCTTTTTTCCATGTATGATGTCTAGAGTGTTCTTAATTTTAGTACTCATGTAATCATAAGCAATAAACGACACTTCATTTTTTAGACTTCAAAAATTCAGTGAAATGATGCAAGGTTTAAATTTGTATTTTATTTAAAATTTCTTTATAGTATTCAAAATATGAGAACTTTGCTTGTTTTTGTTTTACATGGTTGAGAGAAGCCATGATGTGAAAATTGGCTAATGAAGTTGATCATTTTCAAAACACATACTGACATCTATTTATCATTTAGATTAATAGTTTCTTCATTTAATTTACCTGCTAACGATAGCAGATGAATTTGGTTTATTTATGTATTATCATAGATCTCGTCTTTTCTACTTTGAGCTCCTAATCATCTGCTAATTATTACAAATAAAGTTACATTATTTATTTCTGTTTTATTATCTCCCATTTGTTCTACTTAATTAAAAAAGATAACCCAGCACACAGTTAACCATGTCTACTTTCTCTTTGATTTATGTAGGTGTTTTTATTGGTTACATTTTAATCATGCATGATATCTAATCATACTGTATTTTTAATATGGGGTGAAAATATACAAACTCACACACACACACACACACAGATATATATATATATATATATGAAGGGTTCTTTTATTGGCATTAAAATGAACCTCCATTATATTTCCCTTATCAACTTTTACAATTTCATATACACGTGTATGTGTCACATAGTCTTCTGCAGAGATCTGATTTGGAATCTGAAAGAACAAGTAATAGATTTGTGCTTCTAGTTCCATTTGTATATTTTCTTTATTCCTTTTAGGTATTTTTTAATTACATAACATTTGTTAAAAAAATACTTTCACATGTCTGGTTGGTGTAGGTTGAAAACTTTTGAAATGACACCAGAGGGAGATTTATGCACACATTCCTATTTTTCATCCAACCAATGTTTTTCCTACAATTAAGGGTAAATATTCTACTTAGAGTTATCAGGTGACATGTAACACTTTCTGCAAATCTACTGTTATTTCAACTAAATTTACTTGATAAGCTCTTCCACTCCATGCCATATTGATTTTTGAAACAATAACAAATGCAGATGATTGTATGACAATTCTTAATGTCTGTGGCGTATTTTAGGTTGTAAATTTTTATGAATTATTAACATATCAGAAAAGTTTGTAAGTTAGTGTTTGTTTATGGTGAATAAGTTATTCCCCCCAACTGAAAATCATCTGTCCTCCATCTGCCTCTAGACGAGAATATAGCATACGGATGTACAAACTATAATTACATTTAATCTCTAATGTCAGTCATAGAATATAGAATGTTTTTGTTAATACTAGGAATACAATCTTATAAACATTTGTTATTCATGATATTTTGTATTGCTGTGTTTCAGTTTAAAAATTCCTAGTATTTGAAACTGCTTTTAAACTTGTTTAGGTGTCTTCAGGCTGTGGTGGATGGATGCGGGACAGAGTTTTGGCCATGGATAACTCAGGAACTGTTGGACCTTTTGTTTCAATCTTTAAAACATACAAATCGTTTTGTTCGAGAAACAGGATATTATGTTTTAGGATCACTAATTGCATGTGGATCCCTACAGACAGGTAAAATTAGTGTATGAGCATGATAGATTTAAAAAAATTGTTATATCATCACAAAGTCCATAAGTTTGGAAAGAATAAATCTCAGCATTTATTAAAACTATTTATTTCAACAGTACCATTTAATCCTGAATTTAAGAAATGCATATAAGTTACAAACTTCCCATGATGGAAAATAATGATTAATTTTTCTTCTCAAAATTATATCCAAATAAATGTGATATGAATATATTTTCTATAAATTAATTATAATCTAGTAACAATATATGTATGGAGAATTACTATCTCATTTCTAGTATTTCACTAAAACAAAATTTAAGTATTGGTTGATTAGCATTTTGACTTCTGTATATTTTTAAGTTATGTTCAAATATTCTTCTTGATAAATCCTTAAAGACTGAAACACGTGAAAAAACTGATTCTCAAAGACATATTCATACTTGGTCAACTGTATGATCCTGCAAATTATTAATTGTGATAGTAAAAGCAGTAAATTTTATTATGAATTTCAGGGTTTTCTCTTTGGACTATCTGGTTTTGGTTTTGTTAGTCTGCTGAGTTTAATTTGGACATTTTCAGAATTGAAATGTGCTGCAAGTAAAACATGTTGGTTATTATAGAGTTGTAGCCAAGGGTTCTGATTGGACAAAATTTGGTGATGTTGTGTCAATGTGTCTCCTTGACAACCAAGCAAATGCAATGGGAAATATCAGTCAATGATTATGATTTTTGGACACCAGCAATACCAAGCGTATGGCATGAATCTACCCAATTCATTGTTATTACTCATCACAATCTCTACAAACCTATTCTCAAATATTATTACATTCCAAAAGTAGAGCATCATCCATTTATATATATATATAAAACTTGCTTGTTACAGTAGAAAGTACCATCATTTCATGCAAGTTGCATCTTGATCGGTACCATAACAGCCAAGTTATCGCTGCAACAGATAGACAGCTTTTCATCTTTATATAGTAGGTTGTAGTATATTGTATTCCCAACTGAGTGGATATATTGTTACAATACAGTAACTTTTTAAAGTAATACTTTAATTATTCAAACTAATTAGATCTTCATTATATCTATGAGTTACATGAAACTTGAATATAAGACAGGTTTCAGAAAAAAAAATTGATAAAAAATAAGTACACAAGTTACCTACATTAGGAGAATTGTTAATACCTGGAGAAATGTAGAGATCAAATTTCTGAACTTCCAGAAAACAGGATTGAACCTGAAACTTCTTGTATACTGTAGTAAGTACTTTACCAAATGACGTACAAGAGTAACCCATTAGTAGTTGTTAATAAGGTATTTTTCAACAACATAAAATACAATAGGAATACTAATAGTGTAGGTAAATTTGACGTTTAAAGGCATTAAAGTTATTTTTGTTGTTAACTACAAAGCTACACAATAGGCTAATTGTGCTCTGCCCACCCCAGGCATTGAAATCTGATTTATAGTATTTGAAGTCCTCAGATTTATTATAACCAGGTCATCCGAAAGGAATTTTCACATAGTCATAAAATGTATGCACTAAAACAGCATATTTGTTTTAAGCTTTTCACATTGTGGATAATTCTTTTATTATTATTCAAAACCTAGAATTCATAAGGGTTCCAATCAACATCTCTAATTTTATTTAGCATTACATCTGGCTGAACAGTTGTTACTGAACTAGAAATAAACCTGAATGTAATTGGATTTGTACATAATTTTGAAATGGTATGTAAAATATTAGTTCAGAAAAGGAAAATTTTATAAGTGAATTATTTAAATCTTTAATCACAACTTGTTTACTAAATTATCTGTATTGTTTAGGTTATTAATTTTACTAATATGATTGAGCACACTGTTAACACTGTATCAGTCTGGATGGGGGTTATGTTTTTAATTGTTATGTATATTTTGATATTTGAAAATAAATAGTTTTCATTTCTATAATAGAAGTAATTTTTCCCCTTTCTGAGGATTTACTATATTGTTTATACAGCTAGGCAATTATTATAAAAATTACAATGTTCCTTTGAGGGCACTGACAAACATTTCATAAAAAATAAGTACTTTCTACTTTGTCTTCCTCCCATCTTTACTCTAATTTTTGTTTCCTTGGAGACCTCTTGTATAATCCTGAACATTCTTCTCCTAATTTCAATCCTCTGTATCTTCCAAAACAATCCTGTAACTGTTCCCTTTGTCAAATGCCACTTTAAATCTGTGAAGAAGGTATAAGGCTTTTGTTTTGTAGCATATTTTCTATTAGGATGTTCAGAGTGAAGATATCTCTCATTAAATATCATTTTCTAAACCAAACTTAGCTCTCCAACCTTTTCTTTAATCATTCTGACATCACCCCAGTATAAGCAATATTTGGTATTCAGTTATCAACCAATCTAAGACTTTTGTTGTGGCTAATAAACCACAGTTTTTATTATATTATCAAGGCATTATGTCCAGTGATGCTCCCTAAACACAACTGAGAGATAAAAGGTCAAACCCTAGCTGCTGATAGTAAATGGTAGTTTTTTTACCATCCCAAAACTGGCTGCTGATAGTAAATGGTAGTTTTTCTACCATCCCAAAACTGGCTGCAGATAGCAAATGGTAGTTTTCTACCATCTCAAAACTGGCTGAAGATAGCAAATGGTAGTTTTCTACCATTTCAAAACTGACTGCAGATAGCAAATGGTAGTTTTTTTGCTATCCAAAACTGGCTGCAGATAGCAAATGGTAGTTTTCAACCATCTCAAAACTGGCTGAAGGTAGCAAATGGTAGTTTTTTTACCATCTCAAATCTGGCTGAAGATAGCAAATGGTAGTTTTTTTACCATCTCAAAACTGGCTGCTGATAGCAAATGGTAGTTTTTTTTACCATCTCAAAACTGGCTGCTGATAGCAAATGGTAGTTTTCAACCATCTCAAAACTGACTGCTGATAGCAAATGTTAGTTTTTCAAGTGTTGGACATTGTAGATTTGGGCACTCATATCTGCTCTTTCTATTTATATATTTATCTCTCTTTTTTTTTTCATCTGATAGGTGGTTTACCTCAACCACTGGATGTATCCTCATCTTCAGATACTTCTTGTTTTTGGTCATGTCCAAGAAATTTCTTTAGAATATCATCCATGCTAAAGAGATGCCATTGTTACAATTCTTTCCTGTAAATGTTAAAATATATCTTATTTTATTTATATAGTGTAGAAACTTGTTTATTCTAGATTCCTGTGCTGAAAAGCCATTCACAGCTGATCGATTTGGTCATCAGATAAGTAAACAACTTGCTGCTGGTCTGGCTGACAATTGGAGTCAAGTTAGTATATTTATCTATCACTTTTTAGTATCTAACAATATAAGTCAATATACATCTGCTGTTATAGACTGCATAGATAGAACTAACAGTTAAAGTCATGTTAACCTGTTAGGTTACTGACTGCTTCTAAATTAGAAAAATTGGTATTTCCAGTAAACTATAAACTTTATTACGTTTTGTGGAAGGATTGTAGGTTTAGGTGTAAACTTTTGACCTTAAGATAATTTCTCAGTCATGAAGTTGGCATTTTGAACATAAATTTGATACACAAGTTGGAAGTTAACTGTGTAACAATAAGTCTATTGATTAACTAGTTAATATTTAGTTCAGGTCTTAATTTATGAGTCAACAATGTTTCTTTTGAAACTTAGAATCTTAAATGTAGATGAGTGTATTACTATGTCACAGTTTCAAGTAACGTGATCTTTTATACTAGATTTACATGTTCTTCAACACATTTTTAGTCATCTGGTGGTAGACCCAATTTATCTAGAGCTATATCTAGGACATTTAAATTCATAAATGACATTTGATGTTACTAGAAACAGTGTATACTCTAGTCTAAAAGTCACACAGTCAGTATCTTGGTTCATTGCTTACAAAATCTCCAGCACATTTGAACATCTACATACAGAACCAGATTACATAAAACAATTTTCAAAGTAAATTGAAGGCTTTAAATAACTCAGCTACAACATTCCAAATTAAAAAACAATAATAATACCTTACACTTGCAAATGTGTAATGTTAGTGAAGAAACCACTCTGCAAGTTTTTCATACAACTTATCCACATGTATATTTATGTGTGGTTTCTACACACAAAACTTTTTCAGAATTATAGACAGAATGTGAAGAAACCACTCTGCAAGTTTTTCATACAACTTATCCACATGTATATTCCAAATCATTTGTGGAACTTTGTACTACTAATCAGGAAATTTTCAATATGGAAGACTATTCATGCAAATGTCTTTTACATACTGTATGTGGCTAAAGCTGTTTTCTTATTTATTATTCCAAATCATTTGTACTTAAAACTTTTTTGTCTGTTGTCAGTATAATAATGGATTGCAGCAGATAGCCTCAATAGCTTTGCCATAAATACAAATTATTTGTAGTGGTTCAAGAGATGTAAAATTATGCAAAAAGAGGAACTTGAAACAAAAGAAATTAATAACTCTTTGTTTGGTTTGATGTAGGTACGACTGGCTGCTTCAGAAGCAACCAGAAAGTTTTTATTGTCTTTTTCCACTGATGCTGAACAAGAAGTTTTCTTTCCTGAACTGCTACCACAGATGTGTCTGAATAGGTAAGCATCAAGACATAATAGGATAACATTACTGATATCAAATGAAAATGTTATTTTTTCTAGTCACACTTACAACTGTGTCTGAAGAGCTGCATATTTATCACTGAAACATTTAGTAATCTGTATGTATATAAAAAGAAATTCACTCTCTGTAAATGGGTTTGGTCGTTTTTTTTTATTTACCTTTTTTCATTTATGTTTTCTTATCTAACCTACAGAGTTTTTGTTTTTACATTTTAGTTACTTTTGTAACAATATATGAAAAATATGCATAAAAGCAAGAAATTTAATTCTTACATCTATCCTCTTTTTTTTTTTGTTTTTTGCTCTTGGTCCGTAATGAAATTTCACCTGTACTTTTTTGTAACCTTCTTAGCAGAGCATAAATAATTTTTATTTATTTCAAATATGTAATTCAGAACTTAAAATAATCACATGCACAAAGCATACCATGTCCTACAGCTAAGATAATTTAACTAGCTTTCTAACTAAGATATAAATGCCTTAAAATAATTCATTTACCTGGTCAGTAATAGTAATAATGGAAGTGTAGGCTGAATTATTCAAACGCTCTTATCAGAATGAGTTGAACATATGTATAAATTAGTAAATCAAGATCTTCATGTTCTTTTAGTTGCAAATAATCCAGGATCAAACATCCAAGAATTATTGAAATTTTGTGATAACTAGATGTGATAGGAAGGCATGGTAAATTGGTTTAGCTTTCTGGGTTATATCTCCATAAGCCAAGAAGATGGGGGGTTATAAAATTAGATTATGGCTTTGTAATTTCTATACTATAAATGTGTAATTCGTGTTAACCTCAGGATATCTTAGAGAGGGTGATGAGAAAATCTAAAATGGGTTATTCAGTACAAACAAATCATGTGATACAGACAAGTGAATATTGGGAACTTAAATATTTTCTTTAGAAATTAAAACTTATATTAAAGTTTGATTTATTAACTATGTTTTGATACTAAGTTTATTGATATATATATTGATAATAAAGTATTTTAATTAGAGTTTGAATGTAACTAAGAATTCACAACATGCTCACTTTGCCCTACCTGCATTTAAGAGGGTTAATAATCCCACTAATCTGAAAGTTCCCACACATCATTAATTTCATCCCCATTTTTTAAAGTGATACATCAGAATTTTTTAAGACTGCATAACCTTTGCAGCTAAACACTAAAAGTAATTTAAATTAGTTTTTAAGGTATTTATTTTTTTAGTAATATTGTAATATAAGGTCTTATTTTTCAATTTCATTTGAACAGCAAACCACAATTTTATATTCTGCATGCTACACATATATCATAAATCATCACATTTTTAATACTAAACTAAAAATGGTTTACTTTTCAAAGTTTTGACAGCTGTGTTATAAGTTTTCTGTTTGGACATGTTAAGAATATGCTTTCTCTAAAAATCACATTGAACAAGTTTTACAGAGAGTTCAACACAAGTCATTTTTGCAGATATGTCAGATATCATATAATCAAGGATTGTAAGAATTTTGTACTGATTCTAGTGTAATCATGAACTGGAGTCTTATACTTGTTGTCAAGTGACCTGATGCATCACCAATGAATTATTGTGCTTTAGGAATACTACGGAGAGTTTTGAAATTTTAAAAATCTAATGTTATTTAAAAAAACATCTCTAATAAAGTTCACTGGATAAATTGAAAGAAAAGGGGTTTTATTTTTCCTTTCACCATTTATCAGCTGTGACTGCTCACATTATATTGTAATCTGAAATGTGCTGTTAACTTTTGAAAACACGTGTGCTTATTATATTGATAATTTTTAATGAAAATTTACTATTTAGTAATGGTAAGGCAGTTATGTTGATTGTAATCTGTTTCAAGGTATTACGTGGCAGAAGGAGTTAGAATTTATTCCCAAGAAACCTGAAATGTGCTGTTAACTTTTGAAAACACGTGTGCTTATTATATTGATAATTTTTAATGAAAATTTACTATTTAGTAATGGTAAGGCAGTTATGTTGATTGTAATCTGTTTCAAGGTATTATGTGGCAGAAGGAGTTAGAATTTATTCCCAAGAAACCTGGAAGACGGTGGCAAAAAATGAAGGCAGAGAACTTGTAGAGAAATATATTGAGCATATGGTAATTACTAGCTTAAATAGTTTGAAATTATCTATCATGAGTTCTCACGTGTAGATTTATTCACATAATTTCAACACTGATGTACATATTTTATAGAAAGTTAATGTTACCGTTGCAATTTTTTAATATTCTTATTGTTTAGAGAAAATTCATAAACTTCTGTGATTGATTTTCAAAAAATCATTTGTTTTTATATTTTTTAAGGAAAACAAAATATGTGACTACCAGGGGTTTCTGTATATTTTTTATAGTATCTATGGGAATATGTTCAGTTTTAAATTTGTCATTAGGACTGGATTACATCACTTAATTTCTATAAAATAATAAAACTTAATTCCATTGAAGGTCTTTGTTAAGAACAATGATCATTTATTGTCTTTATTTGCTTCTATATATATTAAGATTGTCAGAAAGTAACACAATTTTGATTATAATCTGAATACAAATAAAGCAAAAAGGATCTAATTAAAATTAACATAATTTGAAAGCTTTAATATGATCTATTAATATATTCAATACATTTTTACCCTTTTATTGATGAACATTACTTAGCTCTGACTTTGAAATTGTATGTTTTTTATTTTTTGCTTTATTTAATTTTGAACTGTCTGTTATCATTTCTGTCATTGTTTTATTATTATTCTTAATTAAAGCCATGCTTTTATGATTATAATGTATTATAAATGTCTTTTATCATGCTTTCTTGATTGCCATTTCTTTTATACCAGACTTTATCCTTTCTTGATACACTGTATTAGGCTGAAAGTACATATTTTAAACAGCATATGATCTGTTTGAAATAATCTACATTTCCAGTTTTGGGTCTATCAATTTCTTCAGATATATTCTTGTGGCACCAAGTTTTTGAAGGAAACTTGTTGCAATGAACTAAGTCTGTTAGAACTCTAAAATAAACCAAAAATTAAACTAATCTCGTTCAAGGTTATTGAACATATATATAAATAACCTTTTGTTTTTAAAGCTAATAATGTAGGTTTAAGCAATTACAAAAGTACGGTTTATATATTTTTTTCACATTTCCATATGATGAATATTTTATGTTGTTTACTCACTTTTCAGGTAAATTACTACATCTCTCAGACACAGGCAGATAATCATGCAGTTCGTGAAGCTGCATGTGCTTGTATTGCTGAGTTGGCTTCAAAGGTATTTGTCTTAATTTTGTTAAGGTTTTGTGTTTGCTAAAATGTTTTTTTACAAAACATACTTTCATTACTTTCTTTTGGTGATCTTTTGTTACAAGTGTTTGTACTTGGGTGTTTATAATATTGTTCACTTGTTTTTTTTTCTATCAGTATAATTTGTAAGTGAATATTAAACTTTTTTATTTATGTTAAATGTTAAAATGAAGGATATGGTTAATAGTGAGTAAAGGCCATGCTTTTACTTTATTAACTGTACAAGCAGAACTTAAAGAAAAATACCAGAAACTTTTAATATATAAATGAAATACTACTGTATATTCAATAATGTGGTAAGTCTTACAACTTGTTACTGTGGAAGTGAAAAGCTGACTTAAAGTTAAATAATAAAATTTTATCTACATGTGTATGGTAGTCTCTGCTAGAATTAGGCAACCATTAAATCCAATATTTACAAGTTAAATGTTAATGAACGATGAAGTCCTGACATTTTCACATTATGTCACTACTTTGCTCTTTTCTCTTTATAGACCTAAGTTTGTAAGTGTTGATTTAATGCTGTTTTGTTTGGTAATACTATTCTTTTCTTTCCGAATTTTTATGCTTTCTTATTAAGGATGGTTTAATTAAAGTTCATTTTTATTCTTGTATTTCATAATGCTGAGTTCTGATTAAAGAAATGTACTAAACTTGATTACATATTGACTTGGAATATCTAGATATTATTTCTAATACAAAAACCTTCATTTTATTTCTGCATAAGAGTTTTTTAAAGACCTTTCAAATAAAAAGAGAAGCTGTAGGCCCACATGTTCAAAAGCTGTTACAGACTGTGGTGTTAAGAGTTTTATAAAAATCTTTCAGATAAAAAGAGAAGCTGTAGGCCCGCATGTTCAAAAGTTGTTGCAGACTTTGGTGATCTGTTTTCAAGATGACAGTTGGCCAGTGAGAGATGGTAAAAGAATGACTAATACTTTTATTTGAATTAATGACAAGTTATATGCATAGAACTGACCACTTATGTTATACTTCAACAGTGTATCCTTATCTATTACTGATGTCTCCCTTTCTTGTTTTCTTTTGTTTAAAAAATAAATAATGTTCTTTAATTTAGGATTTGCACAGACACAAATATTGATTTGCACAAATATTTATTTCTTATGCCAAAGATATGTTCCTGCTTTGCCACCTTCAGTACCATAAAATATCTGTTTTAGTACACTGTGCAACCATTTAAATCGGTCTGAGAGATGAATCATAAACCACTTGCAAATACAAACAAACCATCTCCCTGTTATTGTATAGATTATTATTTTAAAGTTAAATATTAATAAAGAAACTAGCTCCATTTCACTGGTTAATCATTGAAGTCATCAATTGGAAAATTTGTAATTTATTATGAAGTATTGCAGGAACTAAAAGATTACTGATTGTATATTCACAGGATTATCTATTTTTTGGACATGTTTGATTAGGTAGATATCATATGTTTTCCATTGCCTGTTTTTCATTTTTACACAAATCATTTATAGAAAAGATAAGTTGCAGTGACTTCAGGCTAGATACATAGCCGTAAGAGAGGTAGAAGTTGAGACTTTGTACAAAGCTTTAAGACAGGTAGCAGTTGAGGCTTGGTACAAAGCTGTAAGGATACTGTTTTAATTTTTTGAAATATTGAATAATTATTAATGTATCAATAGTTGCTACTATCAAGACTTCTTGAAACTACGTGTTTTTCTAACATCATGAATAGTTGCTTATAGAAATTCATATTTAAGTCTCGTGATTAAAAATATTCTAATACTAGAATTAACATGTACACGTATGTGCATTGCTCTAGATATTTAATTGTTTCTGTTAATGTCAGAATAGATTTTGTAACATGTGGTAAATATGAGTTATGGTGCAAAAAAGAGAGAATTTAGGATGTTGAGAGTCTGAAACAAGTTGTGTTAAGAGCTTTTTTTTAATTACCCAGGTATAATAAATGTTAGTTTGTTCTATTTAAAATTTTCAGTTTTAGAGAAATAAAATATGTATTAGTTCTCAGGATTTTAAATCTGAAACTTGCTCTGTTTACTTATAAGCAAAAATCTTTGATTATACACGTGTACAGAATACATTTTAAATTAAGTTCAGTTCATAAGTGAAATATTCTTAAATTTTACAGTTGTTCCAAGAGTAATACAAGTACATCAAAATGACTGAGTAAAGTTTTGAAATTTTAATGTTACATGATCAATGCACTAAATGTTTAAAAGAGTTGAATTAAAAGTCACATCTCTTGTTCCAGTAATTAATTAAATGGTGGTGGTGTTTTTTATTACAGCTGCATGTCTAGCAAGTGGCAACTTTGTCCTATGTTATCCAGAAGAAGCAAGGTAAATTCTCTATACTTAAGTTTGACTCGATGTCTCTAATGGTTTAATTAACATCTAAGTAGAACACCATTACTGCAATTTTTAATAAGTACTAAATAAAACTTTTTAGAATGTTGTTTTAACCAAGCACCACAGTCTTTTGTATGTGGTTGTGGTATTTTTGTGTTTCAACTGATCTATTCATTCATTATTTACAATATTTATTAAATTACGTGAACATTTTTTGTTTAACCCTATCGCCACAGGTATCCTTTACTGTGCATGACACAAGTTTTTGGGTCTTATATTCAAAATTTTATTAAACTATTTTTTGTTTATGTTATACAAAGTAGAATAGCATAAAATCTTAATTAATAATCCATATTCTAACAGTATACAAGTTTTAACTTCTTAATTCTACAAGGCAATATTAAAACAAAACCTGAATTTCCACTAGTGTGACCTACGTGAGACATTTTCTCTTAGCATGTCAACATCCCTATTTTATCTACCACCCCTCAAAAAAAAGTACGAAATTAAACATAAATTACTCTCTATAAAATCATTATTGCTCAGACAAACCATAATTTTTATAGCCTTCAATTTTGTTTGGTTACAGAGCTATCGGATATAAAATCAGACCCCTCCTGCCACACCCACCTGTCACATCCTCTCTTTCAGAATTCTTGATAGTTCTCTCTTACGTTTCATTATATATTACCTTTAACCAACAGAAAGCCAAATGACATATTATATAATGTTATGTTCTGAACAGTTAAATGTCAATTTCACTCAGAGTATGAACATTGTTCCTGTGGGAAAGTTAATGACTAGCTTGGTTGAATCTGTAACAGCTCTTGTTGCATAGTTAGAAAGCCAGGAACATTTTGAGAGGTAAGTGAATTTGTCTACCTTTTGCATGTTCTTGGTCTATATTCTTTGGTTCATTATTAATTAAATAAAAATTATTAAGTGCTTTACTATCTATAGTATAAAAAATTGGGTTAACTCTCTTTGACAGTCGACAGCAAGAAAAAAGAATATTGGTTAAGTATTGTATTTCTTGTTTTTCGTGTGTTTATTCTTTATGTATAATTATAAAAGTAACTAAAGGGTAAAAATAGGGATCCTTTTAGGTTTAGTTAAGATTAGATTAGGTAAAATAAATAATAATATAGTAATAAAAATGTTTCACAAGGCACACATGCAAGCAGCTCGTGAGTAGTGTAACTCATTAGTGTAATGTGAGCTGCATGTTCCCTGAGTGAGTTACAAATTATAATGGCACGAATAGTAATTAGACACGGTTCAAAGAGCAATAAAACAATAAAATTTAATTATAAATAGATGTATACTGTTATGAACTTAGAGGTACTTAGGATAAATATATGTAGTTTCATGTTACAATTTGAAGTCATTCTAGAAAGAAAAAAAGGGTAATTTAGGTTTATTTCGATTTGTTTTTTTGGTGGTAACGAAGTAGGTCAAATTGACCTTTCCTGTTTTGAGTTAGGGTAGATAAAATAACAGATAAACTATAAAATTTTACTGAAAAAAACGTTTAAAATGCATTTAGGAGGTTCTAGGGATTACAAAAAGGAAATTTGAGATTTGTGAGATAAGGAAAAGAATTTTTAATTTTAACATGAAACTTACTTTGCACATGGACTATTCAAAACAAATACTCAATTTATTCATGGACAAATCTTTATTTTATTTTATTAAAAATGCTTCACTAAAAAATATGATTTTTTGTATGTGAAAGACTTATAATATGATCTGAAAGACTGCCAGATTGAAAATTAGAAGTATTAAATCTATAAAGACTTTAAATGAGTACCAAAAGATCATGCCTGAAATTGGGCTGTGGTTAAATATTATAGTAGAATTAAAGAAGCAATAGGAAACATGTTATTCTAATTTAAATATATTTTATGGAATACATTCTTAATCTTGAAAATAGATGTTTTCTGAACACTTCTTAGGTAAAGTTTTTACTAATGTTATACTTAGATCTTGTTTATCATTTTTGTTTTTGTTGAAATTGTTTAGAAAAAAAAAGATTTGGATAAGTTACATGAACATATTACATTGTTGGTATATTAGCTTTCTGTATTGAATCACTTCTAACTTCACAAAATTAGTGTTAGCTAACCTGAGAAAAACATTTCTTTAATTTCTTCCTGAAAGTAGAAACAAAAAAATATTTAAGACAGGAATTTATATTTTTAGATTTTCAGAACTGTTTGATATTTTAATATACAACCTTGGTTTTGAAATATGTTTCAGTAACTGAAAACTTGCAAGACTGTGAAATTAAATGTACATTTGAATTGCATTACATTTGAAGATAATTTATTGTGTACTTGTATGTTTTATTTAAAGTAAATTATTTTGATATTTTTATCAAATAATCAGATTCTCGTACATTTCTGAGGTGATTTTATTTCAATCCCAATGAGCACATACTAGATGAAAGCATGTACTTTCCTAACAGAGCGAGAAACATAAAGCAAGTAAAAAGAAATGTTGTAAAAATGTTTGAAAAAACTTTTTCATATCTTTGGGAGTATTATTGCTAGATTTTGAAGAAGGTATTACTTACTTAAAGCAATGTGATGGACAAACTATATCCACTGTTCTTCACAAACCTGGAGGACTGCATATCATCTGTAAGGCAAGGTGCAGCTGGGGCCATAGCCAATGTTGTCAGAGCATATGGTGAGTTATGAATTGTACCATTTGTTGAGGTATTTTTAGGGCAATAACTAACAAATAGAATATTTGTAGAGTAATAATCAATATTGTTATAGTATATAGTAAAAGTGTTTCTAAGGAAATTATCAACATTATTTCAACTAATAGCTGGTTAATTCCTTAACATTATTAGCCTGGTACACTGACTGGACATCTTATTAACCCCTCTGTTATATTTGCAGAATGCTCCTTTTATTTACATGTGTAAAATAGACTGATCATATACTGCTTTAACCTTATGAAAATGTAGATTTAGACATACCATAGTAAGTAAATAAAAACAAAGATTTCATTGACTTTCAAAGGGTCTAGATAAATCTTATTAATTTAGCAAGAGTATTTAATGTGTTTTTTTACTAGCTATTTAATGTATTTTTTCATGAGAATCTTATCAGCATGATGTTCAAAGAAACTGTCAGTCATTAGTAAAACTTGCATACATTTGACATCTTTGGCCAGCACATTAATCCTATTTGAATCCCATTGGACACCTTTTTGATAAATTTTAACAACAACAACATTATCTGTATGCAGTTTAGTTGGTAAATTCACAACAGTAGTAAGCTTTTAGTATATTAGGTTCACAACACTGCTGGCCAAGTAGTATGTTAGGTTCACAATACTGCTGGCCATGTTGTATGTTCAGTTCACGACACTGCTGGCCATGTAGTATGTTCGGTTCACGACACTGCTGGCCATGTAATATGTTAGGTTCACAATACTGCTGGCCATGTTGTATGTTCAGTTCACGACACTGCTGGCCATGTAGTATGTTCGGTTCACGACACTGCTGGCCATGTAATATGTTAGGTTCACAATACTGCTGGCCATGTTGTATGTTAGGTTCACAATACTGCTGGCCATGTAGTATGTTCAGTTCACGACACTGCTGGCCATGTAGTATGTTAGGTTCACAATACTGCTGGCCATGTAGTATGTTAGGTTCACGACACTGCTGGCCATGTAGTATGTTAGGTTCACAATACTGCTGGCCATGTAGTATGTTAGGTTCACGACACTGCTAGC